CTTACTCTCCTGATAGCTTTAACTACACATATTATTATCATTATTACCGATATATATATATATATAATTCATATTATTCTTCAAATTTAATCACCTGACTGTTGTTACGCTTTCCTTATTCTTTTTCTGTCTGTTAGTCTGAATAACTTCACTAATAATATCTTTTATTATTATCTCTTTTCTTTTGACGACGATACCGGAGGACTAACTGGTGAAAGGATCAACTGCATTCACAGTAGTCACAGTCTTATCACGCCTCATACTACAAACCACATATAATTAATCCCAGCACTACTCCTTTTTGAGTCAACCAAAGCTACGACAGTCGAGTGGCGGGACGAGCTATGCAGAAGTTCACCGAAGATCAGGAACCTGTACCTCACAATCAAGAGGCGAGCACAAAGAAATCAAATTGGTTTATACAAGCTCGTAAGAACGATATTGGATATTGGACAGGTATAGAGTCATTCCTATTGCACATATTATCAGTCAATTCTAAAAATAAAGCCTCGTTCATCACCCCGTCGCTTGTGAGAAGGCATTGTAACTATCATCGAATGCTGAATGATGAATGACAATGAGTCAGTCCAAGGTCTCCCGCCCCGTTCGATTATAACGTGTCATAGCCTGTTAGGGTTGTTTTCTTCCTTAGTAAGCAATATTAGTCTGTAAAATTCTGTCTTGAGGGGTGAGAGTATACATTCTTTAACATGGGTGGGATTTAGGTCATTCATTCTAAACAATGAAAATATTTCTGTAAGCTTTTGTTAGAACTCTTGTCATATTTACACATCCTGCAGTGCGCTTCTAATTTCTAATACTATCTTTCTCCTCTTCATATAAATTATTGAAGGTAATACTTGTCATTCGTGCCTAAGTTATTACAAAAAAACTTATTGAAGTCGGTAGATACAACCGAATTATGTTATTCTGTAGTCGAACACTTCTCTGACAGCCACTATATCCTATCATCAAATAAGGCTAGATGCAAGGGACGTTGTTTCGTCCTACTACGGTCAGCGCGTAAGTTGTCTATCTCTTCCAGTGGAAAACGTTATGGTATGAGGTGGTAATTAGCTTTTGGTCAATATCAGCTGATACGTACGGTGTGCACATCCCGTCTTCACCAGGAAGAAATGTCGGCAGACAGATTCTTTTTTTCTTGAAGATTTTTGAATGTTGAAGCCGTGCTTAAGCAGGGTAAGGTTAATGCCCCTCGCATGATTTGCAGCATGTGCTGGGATTTTCACTCGGAAGGAATAACTTCTCTACTAACGTCATAAAACACACCGAGATTAAGGAATGTCTCATGATTCAGAGTTTGTACCGTTTGTTGATTTTCTGACGCTTCTGTCAGTTGTGAGCATAAGTTCACTTTTAGAAATGATGTGTGAAATGCAGCTTATTCTGAAAAGGTGTAGGTTTTCACACAGAAATGGATATACCCTAGTAACACGTCACAGTAGAACAAGCCAACGTAGTTATTCTGCTGTATCCTTTTGAAATATCCAAGAAGTGCATACAATTATGTGAATAGTGAGGACATCATTAATGGGCCAGTGGAATGCTAATGCGTTTTCTGATGGTGAAGTGTCCAAACACCCTCTCAAACTGTTGGGGCTAATGGTTGTTACATCGACGTTTTATTTGATATTCAAGTCATACTTAGTGTCATGTCGAGCTTCTATGATAAATGCCCATGGTTATGTTTGAGATCAATGATAGGGCTTGAATTGAGACTTCCCCCAGAAAAGTGACGACCTAGGATTCCTTTAAACACTATTGCAGTGCTAAACTTTGCATCCTCAGTTGGGTGTCATGAAGTTTATAGGTTTCTGACAGATATTGGGGGGCAACAAGTGATAATTTTAGTGGCTTCCATTTATGTAACCATCGTGTTCCTAAACTGTTCTGTCTCGATATGATTGTAGATGTGTATTTAGAAAATTCCCAAAACTAACATTATCCAAACTCCTAATTTGTTGTTACTTGGGGGGGGGGGGCGATTGCCACCACAATATACGAATTGCTCAAGTTTTTGAGAATGCCTTTAAGTGGTGGTGAACTTCAGCTTATTTCCATGCCATGAGTTACCAAGTATTGATCATTGGACGCATAAGGCTTCATTTGAGGATTCCTGAATGATCTCATATAGTAATAAGAACAACCTGAATTGTTATTCATCAGGATTTGGTAACTTGTCGAGTCTTAGGTGATAAACTAGCTTCAAAATCAAATGCCTGCCGACCGAACCACGTGCTATTCTAAAAACACTAACCGTTGTGACTCTTAACATCTCTCATTGTTATTAACAATGCGTAAAAGTTTGATGTATATTGAAGTGTTTCTCCCGATTCCATTTATATATGTAAGTTTTATTTTACCTTCCCAATCTGATCCTTGTGTAAGAGAATACTTTATTGGAGCAGATTATACAGTTAAACACTACCTTTCACGTTTATTGCGACGTTTGTAATGATTATCTTACAGCTTCACAGTAATATAACCTAAACGTTTTAACTCATATTTCCGTAAATAGACTTTTTAGATCCTTTTGGATATAACTACCACTCTAAGAGGCTATAAAGTTACATAGATTGAGATGGTTAGGTCACGTGCTGCGTATGCCTAACCATCGTCTCCCCCGACGGGCATTACTAGCTGATATAGGTGCAGGTTGGAAAAGAGTAAGTGGTGGCCAAACAAAAACATGGCATCAATCCATGAAATCCCTGACAGTTAAACTGAGTCAGGTAGGGAGATGCAGACTTCCGGGTTGGGGCCCTCGGGACTCTAAGAATCAATGGCTGGAGACAATAGGTGACATAGCTCAAAATCGTTGTCAATGGCGCAGATGTATTCAGTCTCTTTAACCTTCATATTCCTTTCTACCATTACTCATTCTGTTTCACTCTTATACTTGTCAAAACTCTATTGATTCTCTTCATCACTCATTTTCTTGTCTACCTTTGTGTGCTATTTGGAACGTGGCAACTCGAACTGCTGCACTTCAGTGCCAAGTTCTATGTTGAATCCAGCAGCAGCAGCAGCAGCAACTACCAGTCCGAGGTTTATCATTTAACTGCCCTGGTGTATACTTTAACTCATCAGTCGACTTAATAATAATTAACCGGTTGGTAAACACTTAATCACTTTTCCCCAATAGTAGACCTTATCACAGAATACTTACCCCTGGTACTAGTACTCATGTTTGGTTGAGCAGGTGTACACTATGATCGATTAGTTTAATAAATAGTTGTCACTTCGGTATTTCGAACTAGGAGATACAACTCTGATGACCATGATTCCTTAGATGAACCTCGGTTTGCAATGTGAAATCTCACATTTGTCACCTGTGTGCACATCTGACATTGAGCATTCTCCTAAACTTCGTATTTACAAACTATGCGTGGAACTGAAATTCGTGTGGTGGTCAACGAATAAAACTGGTAGTATCAGTTTCCTGTAGGTTCCAAGACAAACTTGTCGCCTTCAGATTCTTAATACTGGAGACTGATATTTCTTGACTTTCGTCTCAAAATACTGAGCACTTATCATTAACATCCACTTGTAATTATTTCGGAACATTCTGGTTAGTGGCATCGAGATTCCTCGTGACATTAATTGTTTTCACATTCACTGTATCTAGAGTCACTTCGGCACTGACTCTTTCTATTTGAATTGGATCGTAAAATGAATTCAGAGAAGTTTGAGTTGTAGCAGTTTTTTCATAGCCGTATGTAATTATTATTATTTTCATTATTGTATCCTTTAATTCCTAGAGGAACATAGGGCTTCAGCTGTGCGTCTCCATTGCGTTCGGTTCTCTGCTAGAATCTTCACCTGGCTCCAAGTCTGTCCACACATTTTCATCTCCTCTTCACATGACCTCCTCCAAGTCACCCGCCCTTGCACTGGCGACCAACTCGCCGCTTCCCTTTCGGGTTCCACTCGAGCAATGGCTTGTCTAGTGATGTCACTTGATGGTTTCCTCAGAGTATGGCCAGTCCATCTCCATTTCCTTCTGCATATTTGTTTCACAATCGGTTCCTGGTTGGTTCGCTCCCAGAGATCTCTGTTGCTGATCTTTTCTGGCCATCTGATCTTGAGTATTGAGCGAAGACAACTGTTAATGAAGGTCTGTAGTTTGCTTGAGATGCTCTTGATGACGCGCAGTGCAAGTCTCTGATCCGTATAGTAGCACTGACTTCACATTGGAGTTGAAAATTCGGATCTTATTTTTGATGCTGAGTGCTGTTGACCTCCACACAGGCTTGAGAGTAGTGAAAGCTTGTCTTACTTTTCCGATTCTTGCTTTGATATCCTCGTCAGTTCCGCCTGTAGTTGAAACGATGCTCCCCAGGTAGGTAAAAGAGGTTGTTTCTTTCAGGTTCCTTCCATTTATGGTGATTGTTGTCTGTTGTTGTTGTTGCTGTTGGTGGTGTTGCCCAGGAATCTTCACAACCTCTGTTTTCTCTATGTTCACCTGAAGTCCTATCTTCTCTGGATGCTTCTTCTATAGCCAACTTGTTGCCTTTCATCATTCGTATATCTTCCAGTTTGTGGGAAATCAGACATATATCATCGGCGAAGTCCAGATCCTCCAAGTTTTTTGTGTGAGTCCATTTTATACCTGTTTCCTCGTTGCCCGGCCCGCTGTCTGTCGCATTATCCAGTCCACTGCAATCAGGAAAATCATTGGCGATAGTATGTAATACATGTAATAAAAGTGACCTCATACCATCCATACCTTCGTTTTCTGATGATTTTAGACATTAATCTGCATTTATTTTATTTTTGGTTTTATATCTTCCGTTTAGGATGTCAATCTACCTACTAATTATTTCACTTGTGAAGTTGTGCCCAACAGTATCGTGTAATGCCGTCAACATTGGCAACTCCAAGTCCGTCGTTTAAGAAGTCAAAATATACGTTATTTCTCATGGACGGGTGCACTTACATTTATATGTGAGGTGAACTTTCATTGTAAACTATTTCAAATGACTAAACTGTGGCCTATTTTGAAAGCCTCTAAACTTATTCCTCATTGTTGGATCCCGTTTAGTTCAACTTTATCTCGTCGTCACTTTTGTGTGAATAAAACGCCGAGTAAAAATGTTTTTGCGGTAACTGGTATTCAATCAAGTGGAAAACCTCATCTTGGAAATTATCTTGGTGTTATTAAACCATGCATTAAATATTGTCGTAACAGTGATGTATCACAGTTTTTTATGATAATAGCTGATTTACACGCTCTTACATCACAAAATTGTGCAACCTTAGAGCATCAAATTCATGAACTTGCAGCAACTCTACTTGCCTGTGGATTTGAAAGAAAATCTTTGAAACAGCTCATGTTTTTACAGTCATCTGTAGCTGGTCATACTGAACTGGCGTGGATTCTGTCGTCAGTCTGTTCCTTTCGTGTAAGCTAACTGGGATTGAATTTTTATCAAGTTGGTATTTCATGTGTGTTTCTATTATGCTATTCTTCTGTTTTTATGTGTAACAGTAAATTTTTGTGCCTGTGGTAAGTTAAGTCTGAAAGTAGTTGTAAGAAACATTAAAAACACTAGGTGTAGTGTTTCGCATAGGTGTGAATGCCCAATAAAGCACTGGTCAGTACTCTGTTTTATCGAGTCAGGAGGATGTACTCTACGGTGAAGTTAGAGAAAGAATTTCTAATTCTTGAAAAACAACAGTCACCCTCAGAAATTTATCTTGAAGATATGAAGGCTGAAATGCCAAACAAATCGCAGTGAGAAACAAGCTTATCTTTATTCAACTCGATTTTAGGGGTGATGATATTGTAGGAATAGTCAACAGAAGATTGAATACCTCACCGACCAGGACCTATCCTGTAGCCAAGTTGGTTCCAGTTTATCGGACAACATATCCTTTGGTGCAATCGAAAGTTGATAGATATCCTTCTTATGTTAACTGTGTGATAGCAATTACATTGGGAGAACAGAAAGAAGGGCACACCTCTGATTTTCTGGACATGTACCAAAAAGCCTACGCCTCAAGGAAACTAGCGCTTACAATAGTGCTCATCAATACGGGTCATGAGAGGTGAACATCGCGAAATCCTTCAAGATTATCAGTGGACATAATTGTTCAGTTCTCGATCTTGCTGACACAATCGCTGTCAAACGCCTGAAACCCGATTTATGTGATAAGAAAGAAGCAGTTATCCTCGTTTCCTCGCCCTGGTAACTTGATGTCTTTACTCTCTCCCATTTGATTACGTAGTCCTTGGCTTTGACCTCTACCCGCTTTAAATATAGCGTAACTTTGCATGTCTGTTGTTTTTATGATTTGAGTTGAACTCATTTTATTGTTATTTAATTCACTAGTTAGTCATCATCGCTTGTATAAACTGCATAGATGCAACTTTCTGAGCAGCGCTTACTAAGTTTGGAGCCACCTCCTGTCAAGTGACATCATGTAACACTTGCAAGTATTTTGAAATTGTTCTGTACATAAACTTAATAATTTTTTTAAGCTTTATGCAGCTGATGAAGGTCTAGCGGAGTTAATGATGGTACCATCTTATTCTTCCGAATTGTTGTTTTTGCGTTATTGAGACTGTGTTATTAGGTTTTGTGGATTGCTTTTGGATAGCGTACTACCTTAAGGATATAACTGTACATGGAATTTAAGTGTGGTACATGTAATGTTTATGCATACTGGCTGAGGATGAACATAATTTCAAGGTGTTCGGAGTAATCAGTGGCTATTATATTTGAGGCCTGTTGTGGTTTTAATGAAGCAGTAGACATAAATAAAACTTAAACCAAGTTTGTTAATGGATAGATCCAACTGATGGTGTTAAAAAGCACTAGTGATTACAGTTGCCAATAAAATGAGTGTATATATAACATCGTAGAGTTATGCTTGCTCAAGTGGATCACATATTTTGATGTGAATAATTCCGGTTCCTATAGGAAACCGTGTTGAAATCTCACTGCGAAACTGTTTAAACTGCAAGTCGCGAATTTGATTTTATCAGAAAGAGTAGTTTTTTTTGCGTGTCGCTTGGTTGTTTGTCATTGGATCAAACATTTTTGTACTACATTACGTAGCTGAGTCACTCTCAACATGTTTAAATATAGCTCAATACTAAAAACGCTGCTTATCAACCCGTAGCTGATCATTTTTAATGGAAAGTCGTACAAAGTAATAAATGGTGTCTTAAGTATGCCATGCATGAAGGTACAATCATAATAGCATAATTTTAGTTGATAAAGCACAGTGATATAGTATTGTTTATTTATTGATGACATTTCAAGCACAGTTTAATACTGCATGATATCAAATTGATCACAGAATTTTCTAACTTGGTCTGTTATATATCCTTGTTTAATTTCATTGATAATAGTGTTTCTGAATTGGCATTGAATTACTTCTATAGCATGTTCGATGGATTGAGTAGGTTAAGAGACATTTCGTGTGACCATCGTCTCCCCCCGCCATTGAGCTGTATAACCCTTTAGAGCTATAGCTCTTTCTCAACCTATTGTATAATTGTGCGTTAGTGCATGCAAAGTCTTTTCTAAGTTAGTTATCTTCTGGTTTATCATTCTACACTTAACCTAGTCACACTGTAACGGAAGAAGACAACATACTTAGTAACGGAATGTTTATCTGCAATTTAATGTACACATATAGGGAAATTTTGTACACCTTATATGAACTTAATTTTTTGATCATAGCTTGATTTCACACAGTATTTTGGTACAAGTATGGAATTTTCAGCATGCGATATCGGTAGCCCAAATTTAGCAGGCCGACCATAGATGTCAGGTGTGCGTCGGTGGGGAGTCGAACCCCGGACCATGTGCATGGTCGGTGACAGTCCTGACCGCTGTGCCACCGACGCACCGAAAAATCGTCATTTACACGGTCGGTCGGTCGGTCGGTTTTCGACATAGAACTTTGCACATATGTGCGGCAGTTCAAGTCGCCACACTCCATGTAGCACGCAAAACAAATGAAGAAAGTAGAAGAAATGCATAATATAGACAGTAAACAGAGGTGAGACGAAGGAATAGTAGTAACGGAGAACAAAACAGTTTAATTGGAAATCATAAGTCACAAGGAGTGGATGCATCTGCGCCACTGAGAACGATTTTGAGCCATGTCACCAATTGTTTCCAACCATTGGTTTTTACCATCCCGAGGGCCCCAACCAGGAAGTCTACATCTTCCTACGTGGCTTAGATTAACTGTTGTGGATTTCATTGATTGGTGCCATGTTTTCGTTTGACCGCCGCTAGCTCTTTTCCAGCCTGACCCTATCCCAGTCAGCTAACATTGCCCGTCGAGGAAGGCGATGACTAGGCATACGTAGCACATGTCCTAACCATCTCAGTCGATGTAATTTCACCGTTTCCTCGATTGATTTCCCCGCCTTACCTAGCACTCGACGCCTCACCTCAATATTGCTCACCTTATTATACCACTTCACACGGGAGATAGAACGCAGACACCTATGATCGAACACAGATAATCTTTTCATGTCTTCCTCTCTCAATGGCCAGGTCTCACAGCCATAAAGGAGGACGGAGCGGACTGTTGAGCAGTACACACGCCCTTTAGTCGATAGTCGGATATCGCGTCTACGCCAGAGACGGCGAAAACTGGCGAATGCGAACCTAGCCCTCTGTATTCGTGCTGAAATTTCGTCTGAGATCAGCCCGTCGGGGCTGATGGTGCTTCCCAAGTAATTGAAGCGGTCAAGGTGTTCTACCACTTCACTTCCTATTTCTAATCTAGGGGTCGATGAAGTCCAATCCTGCAGCATCATCTTACATTTTACAGGGGCGAATCGCATACCAAACATACGGAGATTGTTGCTCAGGGTGTTCAGTAGACTCTGCATTTTGTCAGAGTCCTCGCGTAGAAGGACTATGTCGTCTGCATATTCTAAGTCAACGAGATTATTCCCTGGTAGCAAGTCAATCCCTGAGTCGCTGAAGTGTGATAAGGTTAAGTCGATTAGTACGTCTATGATGAAATTGAATAGGAATGGGGATAATGGGCATCCTG